AATCTAGGATTTGATTCTGCAAAAATTTTTGTTAATCGAGTGTTCTTTGTGTAATTCTGAATTGAATTATACAATTTGATTATCAAAATTCTCAAAAGTCAAGTTTCATCTTGAAGTTTTTGTCCGTACAACAATGGCGTCATTCAATCATAATTCGATGACTTCATTTTCTCATTTACTTGGATCATCCACAAAAATTCCAATGCTTATTCCAAAATATTATGATCAATGGGCAGATCGTATGGAAGATTACTTGAACGGTTTGGATGAAGAATTATGGAAGTGTATCACATGAGATGTTAATCAACTTGCACAAGTTCAGCCAATCGGCGTGTCTTCAAGCAGTTCAGAAGTTGATAATCAAACCGAACGTTTAAAACGTCTGGAGAAGAGATGCATGAGGGAATTAAGAGGTGCATTACCTCCTGTTGTGTACAATTATGTCAGAACTTGCAAAACAGCTAAAGACATCTGGAACAATCTCAAGGATAAATTTCAAGGAAGTGAAAAGACGAAAATCACATCTGTAAAACAATGTCTGGTGGAACTCAAAGACTTTAAACAAAAAGAAAATGAGTCAATTGAAGCGTACTATGATAGGTTCAACGAGTTAATCTATCGTTGTAATCGTTATAGTATAATCAGGTCATCAATGGAGTACAATTTGATATTTGTTATGGGACTTCGAAAGGAGTGGAGGAGTGTGAGTATGATGGTGAAAAATCAACAAAGTTTTGATACTTCGACTTTGAATGACTTATACAACCAATTGAAATCTCATGAAATGAAGTTAATGAAATAGCTGAAGAAGCTGTAGCAAGTCTTGGTGGTCCTTTGGCTCTAGTTTTGAATATCTTAGAAAGAGAAAATGATAAAACGAAGTCTGATGAAGAAGAAGGTTTTTTGATGAATTCTGATGATGAGGCAGTTGCTTTTTACACAAACAATAGGGTCAAGAAATTTTTTAAGAAACCTTTTAATCCAAAGAAGTCATCAGATTCGAAGGGAAGCTTTGAGAACAAAAACAAACTGGATGAGAAGAAAATAGAAATAAAGACATATTCGAAGAATGAGATGGAGAAAATGAAGATGCAATTGAAAGGTGATACAGGGATCAATTGTCATTATTGTTATGGAGCAAATCATTTGACTGTGGATTGTCTGTTGAGAAAGAAGGAAGAAAAGAAGAGTAAAACAAAAGATGAAGCTTACTACACAGAGAAACTGGAGGAAGTCAAGAAGAATGCAAAGAACTTGTCATTGATGGCTCATAGAGAAAATGAATCAGACGGCACATATCAAATATGGTCTTCGGGTTCAGATGATGAAGAAATGAAAAATCCAACTCATGGAGCCATGTATGCAAAAATGGAAGAAGATTCAGATGATGAACAGACTGACGAAGTGTGTGGGCGATGCTTCGTTTCGAAGTCTACTGACAAGTCGCCTACGACTACTAAGGTACGTAACATTCTTGAATCTTTTAACATTCCAGTATCTGCATATAATTCTGAGTTAGTATCTTTTGATGAAACTGTTATTTACTTTGATTCAATCGTTGTGTCTGCTAGCAGTGAAGCCAAAAATTTAAGTGATCAATTACTAGAGACAAGAAAAATGCTAGATTCAAAAATCACTAGAATTGATTACTTAGAATTACAAGTTTCAAATATCATGGAAGATAGAGAAAAGTTAGGAAAAGAGATAAATTTGTTGTTAGCCCAGAGAAATATCTTTTGTAATTCAGCAAAAAGATTATATGGAAAATTAACTGAGTTACATCATTCATGTGAAATTAGTAAGGAACAACATAGAAAATTACTACCTTTTTTAGCTTATGATAGAGCTAAGGTTGATAGTATTTCATATGATTGTGAAAAAGAAATCTCTGATTTTAACAAAATCCCAGATGATAGATTTAGATATGGAATTGCAAAAGTCGAAGATTATCTTGATGCTGATGATTTAGTAAAAATTGTAAATGAAACCTTAACTAAATCAGAACAACTTCGAATTTTGAAAAAGATTGAGAATTCTACATCCAATAGTGAAACTAATATTGCTAATATTGAAGATAATTCTGATAATATTAGTGAAATTAGTGATTTAGAAGATGTAGATTGTTCACAGTTGTCTGTCATAAATGTTGCAAATTCATTTAAAGGGAAAGAAAAATGTGAAGATTTATTAATGAAAATTGAAACTAATAAACCCTCAACTTCGAAAGTTTGTGATATGGAGTTTGTGGAAATACATGAGAGTCAAACGGATGATAGTGACAATGAGGAGGAAAATTCAAATGAAAAGCCAATTCAAAAGATGAAAGAAATTGAAATTCCTCGAGTGGTTGTTGATCAAGTCTATTTGGATACACAAGAATTTGAGAAAATTCTTAGTGAAAAAGGTGCTCATTTTCTTGAATCGAACACTGTTGTTTATCCAATCTTCAAATGCACTGATGATGTTGTGTTTCCAAATCAAGTCTTCGTAACAACAGGGAATGTTGAAAATGTAAAACCTGAATTCAAAAAGATGGTGGAAGAAGACAATAAGCAAACGTCAAATGAACGATTCTTTTCAAATCAAAGTACAGTTGAGAATAATCTTACAAAGAATTCATATAAATTTCAACATAATAAACATAAAAGAGTTTGGATTGAAAAGTCAAAAGTTGAAAAGAAAGAAGTTGTTCCAAATGCAAATATGTTTTCAAAACAAGATGTTAAAAATGATGTTAAAACAATTAACAAAGCAATAAAACTAAATTCAAAAGAATTTAAAGATCAAGTTGAAAATTTTTCAAAGGAGAATAATATTTCGAAACGTCAAGCGAGAAAAACAATTTTTTGGCAAATTGTTGAACCATCAAAAATGAGATCAACAAATTTTTCGAAAAGAAGAAAAGTTTTTAAAGAAAAATCTCAAACTTTTGAAGAGAAAAGTGCTTCGTTTTTAAATAAAAATTCAAAAGTTTTCAAAGAAATAAAATCTACAATACCAAGAAATTTTTTTCAGAAAAAGGTTGAAAATCAAACTTCAAAGGTTCAAAGCAATACATCTTATCATGAATCATATCTTTCAAAACCAAAAGTTGATTATGTTCCAAATTCAGCAAAATGTTATAATCCCTTAAAGAAACAAGCTGACAAAGTTTCATATGCAAAGGGTATAACAACAAAGAGAAATATTGATCATTGGTTGGAAGGAAAAGGAAAAATGTATCAATCAAGCAAATATTCGAAAGAACAGATAAAAGAAGCATATGACAAATATGCCAATCCTTCAACAAATGGAAGTTCATCATCCAAAGAGTCAAATATATTAGTTAAAGTTTTGCAACCAGTTTCAAAAGCAAAAAGAGAAGAATCACAAACTCAAGATGCGAAAGGTGAAGTTAGTCACAATATGAAAATAATAAAAACTCATATATCTGACCCTTCGAATGAAAATGTTAGATTTATTGACAGTTTCAAAAACAAAGTATATGATTGGGTTAATGGTTGTAACTTACAACTGAATCATAAACCTAATAGGAATGGACCCAACAAAGCTTGGGTACCTAAAATTTTCCAATGATTGCAGGTACTTTGTGATGAGCAATATGATAACAAATGGTACATTGATAGCGGTTGCTCACGTCACATGACTGGGAAGAAGGAAAACTTGCGTGATTTTCGAAGATTAAAAAATGGAGGAGTGGTTAAGTTTGGTAATAATCACAAATGCAAAGTCAAGGGTTATGGGAAAATAACAAATGGAAATTTTACTATCAACAAAGTTGCATTTGTTGAAGATTTGCAACACAACTTGTTGTGGGTACTGGCAATCAAGTTCTTTTTAATGAAGAAGGAAGTGTTATTTCGAATATCAAAACTAAGGAAGTGTTACTGAAGTCAAAAAGAAAATGTGATATGTTTACATTGGATATTGTTCCTATTGTAGGCAAACCTACTGTGTGTCTACTTTCGAAGGCTGCTGCTGATATTAGCTGGTTATGGCACAGGAGATTATCACATCTCAATTTTCGAAACATCAACAAACTTGTCACACAAGATCTGGTAAGAGGTTTACCCATTCTTAAATATGATAAAAATTATATTATCTATTTACTTTATTAAACATTTACCATTTTTAGGACAAAAAATACCGAAATAAATCTATTATCTGAATTTGTGAAAAAAAAAACTAACTGTAATTATTCACACCCGTCGCTTAGCGCGGGTAAACGACTAGTGTGTGTGTGTATATATATATATATATATATATATATATATATATATATATATATATATATATATATATATATATAGATCCGGTAAAAAAAAATTTTTAGGAGGGTAAGAAGTTTTTTTTTCTACATATTTTTTTGACGAACAAAATAAATGAATCATTAGATGATTCATTTGTAAGATGATTCACAAGAAAAAATTCTCAAAAAAAAACATCTTTATGATTCATTTTTAAGTAAATTAAGAAAAAACTTATTTTTATAACAATTTTACCGAATAACAACAAAATCATTGTATAAATGAATCATCGAGATGTTTTTTTGAGAATTTTTTCTTGTGAATCATCTTACAAATGAATCATCTAATGATTCATTTTGTTTGTTCGCGAAAAAAATATGTAGAAAAAAAAACTTCTTACCTTTCTACCAAAATTTTCCTTCTTATTTGATCTTGACTATATATATATATATATATATATATATATATATATATATATATATATATATATATATATATATATATAATATATATATATATATATATATTTTTGTTTCTACCAAAACCCTTAAGGCCTTAAACCCAACACAAATACCCAACCAAACCAAATCAATACTCATGTGCATGTCACGTGAGAGTCAAGAGCACCAAAAAACCTGAATGCATTTATATCATTACACATTCACTGGTGCGGCCTTCTTAACTTCCGCCATATATACATTCATACGTCACCACCTGTTTTCTCTCTCTCCCTCTCTCAAATAGTATCTATTAATGGCCACCTTCACCTCTCCTCCACCGCTCCTCTCCACCGCCGGAACCACCGACCCGGCTATTTCTCAACTTTACAACAATGGCGGTGCTGCGTCCAATGATTACATATCACAGCAACAACAGGCACACTCCGCTTCTGTATCCACGTCATCTACATCTTCGTCAATAATCATTGTGATAATTGTCATTGCTTCCGCCATCATCATCTCCGCCTCTATTTATCTTCTCCTTCGCTTTATCTCACGCCGCTGCAGCAGTTCGGTGAGCTCGTTTTCCACTTCAGAGAATGTTGTTTCTGATAATAGGAATGAAAATGAAGCTCATCATCACGTGATCTGTTTTGATAACGAAGGAGTCGAGTCGCTTCCGCTATTTACCTTTTCTTCGCTTACTGGAAATATCGCCGGCGGAGATTGTGCTGTTTGTTTGTCGAAATTTGAGGCGGTTGATCAGCTTCGCCTTCTTCCATTGTGTTGTCACGCTTTTCACGTGGAATGTATTGATGCTTGGCTCAAATCGAACCAAACATGTCCGCTTTGCCGGTCTACGGTTAATCCAACCGAAGCTGATGTACTGAGCAAGGTACTCTCCGTTTCCGGTAGAACCGGTGCTCCCGGCGGCGGAGGAAATAGAAACAATAGTTTTCGAATTGAGATCGGGAGTATTAGCCGTCGACAAACGCCGTCTGATTCCGGCCGGAGGTCATACTCAATCGGCTCTTACGAGTACATTCTCGACGACGGATATGAGGTTCCCGTAGAATCAACACACCGAAGAGAGATTTCCGATTGTACCTCCGTCGATAAGGACTCCACTACACCGGAGCCGCCAGGAGATAACTTAATGGCGGAGATGACCGCTATCGGCGGAAGTGGACGGCTCAATTGGTTGCGTGATTACGTCGATCGAGTCTCCGTTTCCATCTCTTCTCGATCTCACTCGTTTCGTGGCTCCGGCAGGTTTTTCACCGGAAGCAGTCGACGGAGCGAAGTGGTCGACGACTTCGATGCTACGCATAGCAGGGTCGGCGAAGAAATCAGCGAGCTTTTCCGGTGGCTTTCAGGGGTATAATTGTAAATTACCTAAACGGGTAGAGTCAATATTAATACTCTTTAAATTTTTCTTTCCTTTTTTTCTCTTTTTACCGAAACTCCGTCTTTTTCTATTACCACTCCACTAATCATTCTCGGCAGAGTGGATAGCAAAAGGTGAGATTTGAATATAATTTTTGGGAATATTTATATGGATTTAATAACAATATTGTTTAATTTTATAGTTTATTAAGATAGTTAAATTTGATAAAAAAAAAAAAAAAAGTTATGATATCTTAATTATATTTGACCTTAAATTTAATTAAGACCAACATTTATTGGGTAGAAATTATTGTTCAACTTTTTTATAATTTAGCCAAAAATTTGGTTACCTAATCTAAAATTAGATTGTGGATAATCTTTTGGATTATTTATATATTGGTATTAGTATAAACTCACTTAAATATCTGTCAAGTGATATATTTTCCATAAGACTTTGATGCGAATTAAAATGTTCACATTATAATTCATAATTTTATTACATAATCATTAAAAACAACACTTTATTTTTTATAAAGTGTTTTTATTGTCTTTTTTACAACAACAATTGTTTATTTCCTTTTCCTTAGTCTTGTAATGTTTTTCTATATAACCAAACTACTACTTTTCATACAATTGTAATTGTAGTATTTTTTTTTTTTTTTTTTTTTCCAATTTTTTTAGCATTAAAAGTTCATTTATAACTAAATGAAATGGTTAAAAAATATAAAATTGTAATAAAAAGAAATTTAAGTATAAGATTATAATCAATTAGAAGAAATTAAACTATAATATTATAATGAGTTTATATCACATATGATTATACTACTCATTTACCATTTTGACCATGATTCCATGAAGACATTTTAAGGAACTAGTTTGCCACTTAAATTGATGTTTTGTAGTTGTTTTACCATTTTGGGCTTATTATATTTGTTCATCTCAAAAGTTCGGTTTATCCACACAAGGCTTTATTAGAAGAAAGTCAGAAGAACATCCTTCGCTATCGCTTTGTCCCTTCATTTTCATCTATTTGGAAATAAATAATGGTCATTTATAACGTAAACCCTACTATAATAAATAAATAAATGAATATATATATGCTAGGATTAAGGATGTGATATGGACACACAAATGAAAAATAAGGACACTATAACATATATGGTTCATACGATGAAAGTAATCATTTTAATTAACGGATGAATTATAAGGAGATTTTATCAGATATATAGAAAATACAACCGACACTTACACTTTCTGCTTATAGTCACAACGGTACTGAGACATTTATAATGATAAAATTTGACATACAACTACTTGTTGGCAAGGGCCCACGAACCTAAGACATCGTCATTAACCTAGTATTACATAACAAATATCCTTCAAACGTGCATCCTGTGCCTTCTTCTCTCATCTGCATCATATGATCTTGTGCAGTTGTGCTAAAACACTATCAATGATACCTTACTCAAAACATTTTTTGAAAAGCAAGGACACAATCTACAAGTCAAACAATCTACCAATATTTATTGCAGCTAATCTCTTTTAAAGTTTATAAATTTTATTTGAAATTACATTGTTATTTCATAAGCTTAATCATATTCAAAATCAAAAGTTTTGTTTGACATAACTTTATTAGATTTTATAGAGATAGTTGATCATTATTATTTAATTAAAGTAAGATAATATTTATAATAAAGTGTAGAAATTGGTTTTATGGTTTATCGTTTTATTTGGTTAATGTGTAAATGTGTAAAAGGTTTAACCTTTTGAAAGAAAATAAATAAATAAAACATTTTAGTAGGGTTTTATTGTATTTTCCATTTTGTTTGTAGTAATTTTCATTTAACATATATTTTTACAGATTTATTTTTATTAAATTTAGATATTATTATTATTATTATGTACCAAATCCTCTACACATATCACCTTATTTATTCATTTATTTCAAAATGATATTTTCTCTTTTTTTTTTTTTTTTTTTTTTTTTTTTTTTTGCTTTGAAGGCTAAACACCTCTCAACTCCCTTTTGTAAGTCTCAAATTTAGCTTGATATATCAATCAGATCCACTTGATGGTGCGGAATCTCAATCAAGTGGATGATGCAAGACAAAATATGGAAAAAGGAGAAGAAAAAGAAGATGATGAATCTATGATTTATTCAATAATATGAATGATGCTCCATACATATGAGATTCTCTCTCACACACATTCTTCTTCTCTCTCGCTTTCTCTTTCTAGAACACCTTGCTTTACACACACTTAGCCCCACCGTTATGTTCTATGTTCCACTCCTCACCCCTTCATCTATATATATGGGACATAAGTCGCAAACACGTTCACGGCCGTGAACACCCACACAACCGTAAACCTACCAACCGTAAACACGTACCCAACAATAAACCCAAGGCTATTTTCGGTCCTAGACCAAAAACTACAATTGCCTAGAAAAGTAAAGTATAAACAATATTTGTAGACCCAAAAATCTCCTCCTTGGTTTATAGCTTTCTTTTCTTTGACCCAACAACCCCCCCCCCCCCCCCTAAGAATTTAGCTGGTTTTTCTTGTCAATCTTCATTTAGCGCCTTTTTGTCTTCTATTTCTTCATAACTTCATCTTGAACAGTTGGGCTTTTCTTCTTCAAGTTCCGAAACTCGAACATCAAGGTTTCCAATCAAAACATCTTTTTCAATAAGCTTTTGGTTCAAAACTCCAATCTCTGCTCTCAGATCAGCAATCGATGGGTCCGCTCCCCCTACATTTCCTTCGCCTATAGATATTCCTTTTCCACGAGGTGAAGGATCTGAATCTTGTTGGGCTAACAACCTAGCAAGCCTCTCAAAGGCAGTATCATGCGCATGTCGTGGAGGAGAGGAATCCTCAAGAGCTGAAGAGCTCTCGACTTCATTAGAAGATCGTATAACACTTGGGCCTTCTTGCGTTGGTTGAGTAGGTGAAACAGTTGTGATGTGTTGTTGAACTGGTGGTGCTTGTTCCCTTACTAGCACTCCCATCCTGGGATCGGCTTTTCTCCATTTAATTAGAGGCTGGGAGGCTTGTGTCAATGTTAGAACATCTTTAGATGGCAATGATGTTGGAATATCAACAGGAAGCGGAGGAATCCTTGAAGTTGAATTCATGGTATTTGAAGGATCGACCATCTGAGTTGAAGTAGGAGGAGTTGTCTTAAGAACGTTATCATCTCCCTCTGTCTCTGTTGCAGATTATGCAACTTCATTGACGTTGTCGAAGAAAGCATCAAGGTCTTCAATGCTTAACCTTATATCTTGATCCTGCTCAAAACCAAAGATCAAATCATCATTATCATAACCAGTTAGATCTTCACCCTGATCCATATCATCTTCACCATCATCCTCATTTACAACATTCTCCATTAAGTTCAACTCAAAATCACTCTCTTCATCATTTTCTTTTTCATCTTCATTGGTCTCTTTATTTGTAACAGGCACATGCTCCTCGACAATGTTAGTAGCCAGAGGAATAAGCTCTTCCTTATGTTCGGAAGCAGTGATCACATCATCTTCAGTTTTTATATGATTCGAGGAGCTTTCAGTCTTGGATGCATTGCTAACTTTTGTGCATTGCCCAAATTTCACCAATGGATATTTCCCTTGGAACATGAACTTTCCTTTTCTATTTTGCTTCATGAGCCCTAAAGTTCTAGAACCAAGGGACTTCAAATCAAGTGTTTCTCCTCTTTTCTCAAGATCTAGGTATTTGCAGTTGAAAATCATCTTTAGAAACCTTGGAAACATGAGAAATTTGTCTTTTCTTTTTCCCTCTATATTGCCAACCATTTCGTTCAAGATGTATCTCGAAAAGTTGAAGTCGAGACCCGTAGCGAGAGCAGTAATGGCACCTATGTTTAGTAATGATATCTCTTCAGCATCGACTCTCCTTCCAGAGATGCAACTCACGAACACACGGACAAGGAACCTCCAATAAGGTGTGTTGGGGTGCAAAGTTCTTCATGTATAACTTTGTAGATGGTTTGACTTTTGTAGACCCACTTGCATGTGGTGCATTAGCCTTATGACTAATAAGTATTTGAGAGTGAGAGAGAGATACATGTAAACACCTCTATATAAGGTGGGTTCATACCAATTGTAGAGGTGTGCTTGAAAGATGTAGTCATAGTGATTAGTGAGTGAGATATTTATGAAGTTCTAGACTAGATGTCGTTTTGTACTCATTTACTATGATCGAATATATCTTTTAGCACCCAAATCACCATGTTCAATTGTGCAAACATTAATTCCGCATGCCAAACCATGTTCTTATGTCACTACAATTGGTATCAAAGCGGGTCTTCAAGATCAAGGTGATTTTTGAAGAACAATTCTCGGTTTAGCAAATTTTGTCGCAATTTGAACAATTTTGGTGAGTCTCTCTCTATGATCTCTCTAAATCTCGTTGATTCGTGCATTACGTTTTTTAATCTTGAAATACAGATGGTGAAGTCGTATGCCGGCTTATGGGTGTTTCTATTCCTATTCTAGAAGAGATTAATATTCATGTTCTCCAAGTTTAAAGCAATAAAGGTTCTGGAATCAAGAAAAGAATTCCAAGTGCTTGTGAAACAACATATGTCAATTCTAAAAAAGAACATAGAATGTGTTCACGATGTGGAGAATGAGTTCCTCACAATTTACGTACATGTCCAGTAAGAATTGCAGTTACTCAATCAATAAAACACATCTAGGCTTTGTATTTGTTTTTCATGTTATTTGATTCTATTCATTTATAAATATATGCAGATAATAATCATAAACAATAATATTCATGTATGAATATTACACTATTCTTGTGTCATTACGGATTTATCAGAATCTATATTTAAGTCATTTACATTGATATGGAAAATTAATATGTGAAATAGTTGTTAATTATAAATGAATACATCATTTTTTTACTAACTTAATCATAAATGAATGCATCATATTTGTACTTATTTACGATTGAAGTCGATATTATTTACAT